CTTTTAAGCTTAAAAAGGGTTCATTTTACAGCAGGACAGCAACTTGATTTGTGTAAACTGGAGTAGAAAACATATTTATGGGCATACCATTTAATGCCTTATATGTGCTGCCTGTTTTGTACTTAAAAAAGGGAAACATTAAAGGTACTTCATTGCTGTTGACATTTAAGGTAGATGTAAACCCAATCAATAAAACCTTTTTAAACGTAAGCAGGTACATTTAATTCCAAAAAAGGTTTAAATATGTTTAAAACATAATTAAAGGAATAGCTGGTGACCTTTCCATGAATGTTTAATTACTTCCTATCATAGGGTAACAACTGTTTCTCAATTGTTCTCCAATGTAGTCATCATATCACATATGCCCCTAATGGAGACAACAAGCAGCTGTGCCAACACAAATTGCACAGGCATGCTACACCTTTATCACTATCAGCATCCCATTAGGAAGCCGGTTGCCGATTCTGGATCGAGTGTACAGCAATTGGTTATGATACACAGTTCTTTAGAAAAGTAAATGTTATCCAGTTAGGGTACAGATCTACTTTAAAGAAAGAAATTCAATTTCTATAATTCCAGGGCGCAAAATACCATGCAGTGCCCAAGTTTATATCAAATTGACTTTATTATTAAAGTTCAAAGTATATGTATTCATCCTATTATTGTACATATAAGTAGTACCTTTATACAAGATGCTTATGGCATTTTGTACTTTGTAACATGAGATGAAATCAAATCTAATCCCATTCAGAGAAATAGGAAGGTAGCATCATACTTACTCTTTTGTGGCAACCCTTAAGTGTTGTTAAGTGAAAGTTAAACAGGTACTTTATGTAATAAGTATGCACTAGTACAGAAAACCACAGGTACATTGTAACTGTGTGTTATCATCTCTTTGAATAATAGACATAAGAATGCTGTATGAGGCAAGAACAGGTCCTCATTTTAAAAACAATTGGTTTGATTTACTAAAGGAGTATAGGGCTATAGCAGAGGTAATGTTCACTCTAAAAATAATGTATTCAATGTGCAAAGAGAATATTAGTAAATAAGGTGAACCTGTGTTTATTTTAAATGCCAAATCATGTGCTAGGGATATTAAAAAACAAAAAATTATTGTAAATGATTGGCTGATTGAAGCTAGCAATGCTTCATCCTATTTACCAAGCTTAGTGAACCGTCTCTCTTCCTCCAGCAAATTCACACCAATATATTAACTGGCCTTCTACTTCATATATGGCTTCTTCAGTTAGTTATCACAATCCATCATTCATCATGGTCATAGTAGTGTTTTCTAACAATATAGTTACAGGTTTTGGTGCAGATCTAATATCTAAAACTTTTGAGAGCAAAGGACTTTCTTAATAACAACTGAGCTGTTTTCTTCATTTACGCACATTCCCAAGCTTGATCCTCCTGTGAGCATCTCTAAGCTTTCCGGCATAAAATAATGAACTTTACAGTTATAACATCATGTACTAATATGTACTGCACTGTACTGTTAGTGCTGTCAAAGTAAACAACACACAGTAGGGAAAAGAAGTAACAGACAGGAACTATGCTAGCAGTCCTTAAAGTGCAACTGAAGCCTACTTTGTTTTTAAGTTTTGGATAGAGTGGAGAGGGATTAGAACATCTGTCAGGTTTTTATTACTGTTTGTGTCCTTGTTAGGGAGATTCACCCTCTCTGTTTGTCCTGGTGACTGTTATCAGTGAAGCTGTAAGTGAAAAAAAAAAATTTGGGGGCTGTCATCAGTACAGAAACAGATGGGAAATCTTCCACGTGGGACACTAATTCTATTGACCCTTCTGACCACCAGGCATTTCCCTCACTTTGGAGGGATTTGCTCTTTGGAGGCTTCAGAATTGAACCTTTTTTTTTTTTTGCATATATCTACTGCTAGCAAGCCCGTCATATGCAAAAACATAAAAAAATTAAAAAGTTACCAAACAGGTTATTACTTACCTCTGTCTCCACCACTTGCTTCCGCCTGAAGATCTGAAGAATCTTAAGCGGCCATGAAGGATCATGGGGCGGGCGCATGCGCAGTAGAGATCTTTGGCCGTGGGAAGTAGAGAGACATAGGGTAAGTCAATGCACGCAGCCTGGCAGCGTGCATATGCACAGACACCATGGGACAAAGAAGACACAGCAGTCAGCGCTGGATCATAGACCAGCACCAGCGCTGGAGGGACTCCTGAAAACCACTCGAAAGAAAAAGATGATCGGATCAAGAGGCATCATTTAATGTAAGTCCTTAAAGCAGCATGGGGGGATGTGACTTTAATGTCACTTTAAGTCTGTTTTTAAAATACTCCTGGACTGTCCTATAAAGTTTATGTAGAGCCAAAACTTTATCTAATTTTTGGATATAGTATAAAATGGTCAAACCCCTTTCAGCCTTTTGCTGTGTGTTTCTCATTGGGGAGATTTTCCTTCAATTCCTTTCCCAGAAACACTGCAGGAGTCTTAAACATTTTAGATTTTACATCACTCTTTGTACCTGAGAAAATGGTCAACAGGACCAAAAGATAGAGGAGACACATACAGTAATAACATTCTGACAAGAGGTGCTAACCTTAAAACATTGAAATGCTTTAATGTTACAAGTAGGGATGCACTGAATTTTCAGCAAGTGCACATTTGTTGGCAGATGCTGCGGGGATCGGTGGGGACACAGAGCAGTGCCCAGCAGTGAGGAGAGAAACTTTCAGGAGGCCGAGTGGGGTGGGGAGGAGAGTGCTGTCGCAGGAGGCTGAGCTCTCCTCCCACACCACTCCGCTCCTGTGAGAAGCAAATCAGGATGGAGAGCAGTGCGGGGACGAGACAGCTATCAAAGGAGGCTGAACCAGTGGTGCAGGGAGGAGAGCGGTGTCAACGGTTTCACAGAAGGCTGAGTGGGCAGTACGGGAGGAGAGCTCAGCTTCATGTGACACAGCTGACTGTGCTCTCCTCCTCGCACCTCCGGCTCAGCCTCCTGTGACAGGCGAGTAAGGATGGAGGGCGGTATACAAACACTCAGCGATAGTATTCTTACTGTGTCCTCAGTTATGAATAAACAGGAAGTGCTCTACATCACTTCCTGTTCATTTATGATTGTGGACATAGTAACTGCTACTATCTTCACATAACTTGTGTGTTACTGTAGCGCAGTAGAGTGAATGAAAGTGATACCATTGCATTTTATAATATGAAATCACCCCCTGACACTGCACAAGTTAGCTAAATGTTTCTTTGTAGCCTTACATAAAACAATATGCCTTAAAGGAGGTAGGAGGAAAAGGTAAGCATTATCCTTATTATAATGAATAGAGTATTCGTGGAGGAAGTTTTATTTAGTCCCTCCCATACCAAGATAGTTACATCACCTATATGGATTGAGTGCCACATCTTGTTGTTAAGCTCTGAACCTTTCTATACAACTTATTTTCAAGGGCCTGTGTAGACGGGCTTTGGGCTTGTGTTGATTGCATCGGTTTGACATCAGTTTAAGACACTTCTGAGATCATTATAAATTAATTGACAGTTGCATCTGACCTGCAAGTGACCTCCTTCTGACCTGCCTAAACTGGGTTTTGCATTCCTATAGACTTGTGCGGAAATGCAAAATCTGCTTAAAGCAAACAAAAGCCTGTCAACACAGACTCTAAAGGTTTTCTATCACTTATGGTAACTTTTTGGAGTAACTTTTGCTCTTAGATGTTAAATGACTCTTTATCTGTCTTCCCTTGCTCTTCTGTAGGCTAACCTGCTAGTGCTGCTAACAGACAAGGTTTAGAAGCAGACGGAAATAGAGTCCAGTGAACTCTATTGAACAGAAAATCATCAAATAACTTACCTATTACCCATTTCTGTCCATCTGGTTTTACCCTGTTTTATGTGGGCTTAAGCAGTTTCTGTACAAAATTGTAACTTTCCTTGCTAAAATTAAATGTGTGACTGCTTAGCCTCGGTTCTATATATTTCTATGTTGAGGACTAGAATAACAGCATGTTGTTGTCTCAAAAAAGCTCAGAAGTCCTTATTTTACAGGCAGTTCTTGTCCAAACCTTAAAAAAATATTATCCTATGGCACTGTTTACTAGCCATCAGAGTATCAATTTCTCATTACTGAAGGAATGCAAAACCTGTCACTGGCAGAGTGGTCGTATGTCCTCAATGACATCATGCAACCTGAGACCTGATGCTACTGGACAATGGAAGGCTTTACTTTGTTCAGTCATCCTAATAATGCTGCATTGCCCACAGACGCTATGGAGGTTTTCAGCAGCTTATACAGAAATTACCCCAAAGAAGGAATTGGGCCTTTGGAATGCCTTGGCCTACTAAAAGACACCTATTAACTTTCCGGACTCTGGCACAATGCTTTTGACCTAACTTTACAGATAGCCTTTAACAGGTTTCTGGTCCCAGCAATCGCTTGTATTCTATTGTTACATACCATTTTGTGTGGTTGCAGCCATTGCTAACCATATCCCTCAGCCATATTATGTACCCTCTTGACTTATTTTACTTTCTATAAATGTATGCATTAAAATCTCAATAAAGACATATTCATACAAATATGACACTTCCAAACTACAATAAAACATTTGGAAGAAAAGAGGAAAGACTCTACTAACCCTTAAGCTGGCAATAGACAGCTCAAATATTGGCTGATTCCTGCTCTATCGACATCCCTGCCAAATGAGAATGCCTCAGTGACCGATAAGCAGGTTATCATTAAATAAAGATACAGCAATGGGGGCAGGCATAGCCCTCAGCGATTTCAAGCCGTTTGTAACAAAATGAAACAGGAAAGATTCTCAAAGACTTGCATCATTATAACTTTGTTATTCTGCTTTTACATGTTTTGTTTAGCATACCCATTAATGTTTGCTAGCAAACACTGTATATTGTTGTACCCGAGTACATTATATGGAAAATTTATAAAACAAGATTTAAAAAAAAGAAATGTAGCTATATGATAATAAGTAAAGAAAAAATAAATACAACTTACGACTTCTGTGCGACGGATTTCACTTGAGGTTTGTTTGTAACATCACAACGCTCTAGAAAAGAAAATCTGCATATTAAAACAGCATCCACCATATAATGCATGAACCACACTCTCTATGTTTGTGTTTCTCATTTTGTCAGCTCAACATCATTTATTATTGGAACACTGTATAAGATAAAGCCCTGCTGATGTAAATTATTATCAAGAACTATGCTCTGTCGTACCCCAACATGTGCCATTGCAGATGTTTTATTTACATCTCTCACATAATTAAAGATGGCTATACAATAGAAGCAACCTTTATATGAGTAAAATACATTAAATAAGTAAGACTGCAAAGTTATAGTAATTTAAAGTGAACGAAAAGGCATTTTTTTCTAGTTTTGGAAGTGTGAAAGGGTTAGGCCCTCCAGCAAGTTTTTTTTTTTTGGTATGTATCCCTGCTTGGGAGATTCAACCTCTCTTGTCCTGGAGATCATTACCAACAAGATGGAAAGTAAGGTGAAATCCAGACTTTGGGCAGATTTCCTCTCACTTCCTGTTCCATCTCCAAGACAGGATATCAAGGGAAATTTCTGCTGAAAATGAAATGTTACTTGCGTGGTTGTCATGCTAATCCCCTGTCCTCAATACTTTTTTTAATTACTGAACCAGCATTCAGATGAGAAGTTTTGCCTTCCTTTCTGCATAATTGTTCAGCATAATTGTACCAGCAAAGGCAGCCTATGTGTTTTTCATATGACAGGTTTCCTTTAAAAAGAACCAGACATAATCGAATATATATGCAATAGTATTTAATAATATTTAATTATCAAATAAAACATCAAAATCTGACAGACATGACTAGTGAGCTCCTGAGCCCAGCATAAGAAGCAAACAAAATTTATATATGGAAGCAAAAACTAGTTGCCCTTGGAATAGGTTTTAACCTACATGCAGGCTTTTTATATATAGGATTTAAACAGCAAAAATAGTTGTTTATGCATAGGGGCCGTTAGCAAAAGAGCTTAAAAAATTAAAGTGCAACAAGAAGTATATACATTATAAGTGAAAATCAGAGCGGTGAGCCTATAAAATACAATAAAGTAGTGGCTGTGAGAAAAAGGAAAGGTGAGGTACTATAAAGCTTATAATACTGTCACAGCAATGGAAAAAAAAGAAAACAATAGCATGAAAAACAATATGAAACAAAGACAATATGTGTTTTGTTGTGTAACTCCTTGCAAAAGTTTATGCAGTTCTCTACCTGAAGTACTAATAAAGCAAACATCTTGCAGCACAAATTGCATTGTAATCTAGTACAATATAATTACGTAGGGGAGAAAAATACCTACTTTGAATGCTGTATCCTGAGGTCAGATGTGTAGAGTCCTGTAAAAATAAACATAAATAAATTAAACCAGTAATCCACATATCATTTAGATGTAAAGATTTAGGTCACATAGCCAAAGGCTTGAGTATTATCTCTTTCTATCAATCACATTTTAACCTTATCTAAAAGTCATATGGATTGAGTGGGGATTAAATGATAAAGATAAATAACTAACACGTAGACGGATATAATTATTTAATGTGTCAAACATACATAATTTTTATGTCAGCCTAACATTATAGAGCTATAATTATCACAAGCATAGTCAACTGTATTGGCAACTTGATAAAGTGATGATTTTCCATATGGCACTTCAGCAAACAGAACAATAAATGAGTCTATGTACATAATCTTTTTTTTTTTATAACTATTGTTTTATACCAATACTAGTTATCAAATTACAAAATCAATGAATGCTTACTTACATGTTTCTTTAGGTTAGAGAAGAGTGGTGAAGAGTTAGAAACTTTGTCAGCTTTGTATTGTCTTTTGTGACCCTAATGAATAGAATTCCCCTTACCTCGTGTTCTAATATCCATGACCTTTGCAAGAAGGGTGCAAATAACTCCCTAATGAGAAACCAGACAGAACTAAGCACCTTCCAGAGGTTTTAATCGTTCCCCACTCTAACAGAAAATGTTTTATTCCTGTCTGGGTTACTGATGGATAAATTTCCTCTCGATTTCTTTGTTGACAAAAAACTCACAAACGGGGACATAGGCAGAAAGTATGTTGACTGAGGATATAACCGATCCCGACTCTCTTCACAACCAGAATATAATTCATATAAGAAAATAGAATTATAAAAGAATCCTCTAGAAAAAAACATAAATGTCTTGCATTGTGGACCACACAAATGCTTCCAAAAATCTTAAATTTGATTCCCCTATTTATACAGCAGTGATATATTTAACACAATTTAGTGTTCAACAACTCTTTACTATGCCTGTGGATCTCACCATCTATTCTATACCACAGTTTTAAGACACAATAGGATCAATTTGGGTAAGAGCCAGTTACCCTCTTCCAATTTATTTTGGCCCTTAGCTTTTGGCTCAGGTTTTTTGGGCAGTAGATACTACTGCTGTTCAGTCTAACAATAAGCAGTTTCCAGTAACTACAAGCAGGTGGGCTAATCCTTAATGTGCTGTATTAATTTGTGTTTCAGTGAGGTTTACTAGGTTTGTTAATGAGAACTGCAACATTTTAGGGAGATGTGACTGCCCTGATTGTTTACTTGTAGAATTATATTTACCATATACAAGCTTCATGTACATTACCATGACTGCATGAGCCCCAGCAAATGCCCTTCCTTCTCAATTCACAATGTACCCTACTTAACTATATGTACTACATTCAGATCATTAAAATACCTTTATTTTATGTGTAAAAATATTAACTTACTTTATTGGAAATGGGAAACTTGGACTGCTCAGTTTTACAGGGGGTATGGATAGCTGTCAGAGGTGGAGGCCATGAATGTGTCATTTCCTGTTAAAAAAAAACCCCAAACAAAAACAGATATTAGAAGAAAACATGAGGTTGGTTGTTACATCTGAAACAAATGAACAACCCAAAATTACTATCTTCAAACAGTTAGTATAAGTCTCAAAGAGGCTTGTTGGACCTGACTAATATGTTTCTAAAAGCTTTGCTTGTCACTCCAAAAAAGTGTCCCACCTCGACCATCAAAATAATCACTAAAGTGTATGTAAACCCCAAAACAAACAGTTTACCCTCCTATGGATCCTGCAATCACTTGTCTAATTGCCTCGTCCCCCTTAATGCTTAATTTTACCTATACCATACAAATTGGGTTTTTCTGAGGCATACATACAACTTTGTAATACTGTTAAAACATATATAATTTATTGTACCGTGTTAAAATCCAGCATTTTTTGTACAAATTGTCTTAAAAATTCATATACTTTTCCAGAACAGTCCCCTAGTTTAGTTGCTTTCATAAAGCTACAGCCCTTGTTGAACTCTAGGTATCTTAGTTACATGTACATGTATATATAAACATCTGGTTATTATTCAATATATATCGGGCTTGTAGTTCCTTTTCTCCGATGCATTTTGCATCATAGCTTTATCAGATTAGCTTTTTTCATGGAAGCAGCTTCTGTAGTGGAAGACTACTCTTGTGGTGAGCAGCCCAGGCAAAGCCAATAGAATTTAATAGTGTTTTGGCTTATTTTGTTGAAAATGTATGTCTATGGCCTCACACCTACCGTTTGGAGCCTAGTACAGTAAGTTTGCTAGGACTACAGAATACCACCCCCACTCCTTAACATAGTGGGGAGGTGCTTTGAAGTCCGCATAGATAGCTGGGAACAATCTAAGAGAAAACAGTGAAGAGCCAGAAAACTTGGGAAGTTAAGAGCTCACTAGATTACTGTCAGGATCAGCAGGTATTTTTTTTATAGAATTATCAAACAGACATAGCAGAGCACTTGCAACTGTATATTTACCAGATAAGGGAGAGCAAATAAGAGAATAGTAACCCTATTACTCAACATTTCAATAAGAATCCTTAATAGATAAGCATGAATGGTTTTCACAGATGATGCCTTAAACACAATCCTTCATTCCTCTAGAGAGTTATTTTGCATTATTATGACCATTTCATGCTAAATGATTAAAGGTTTCCTAGTACTCCCCAATTAAAATGGAAAATAGATCTTCAAAGAAACCATAGCACATCAGATATCTCTGCAATGACTTTGTTTTTACTGTAAAGACACACTAAGATATCCACAGATTTAAACAAGCGGTGGCACACAAAAGCATACAAAGAAGATCAGATGCCTAATGCGTGACTAGCCTTTGTCAGAACGATGATCAGAACAAGTTTTCATATGGAGGAAAAACTAATATAGCAGTGGAGATCCATTAAAGAATCACTGAATACACTATGCTATCTAGGACAGGAAACTCAGCTGTCCTTGTCCATTACTATTCTTTTCTCTAATTTAAGATTCGATTAGTGGATTTTAATGTAACTCTAAATTCTAGAGAAACAAATTATTTATGCACTTCTGGAAGTAGAAAATGTTCCTTAATTTTTAGGATAATTTGTGTCATTTCTTTTGATAAGGCAATATGTAGGACGAGTCAGGCTTCACAGTCAGGAAGGTAATTGACAGGGAAACAGTAACCAACATAACATTTATAACATGGCCTTGAAAGAAACAGAAACATTATTAGACTAGACATCAGTGGAGCCACTTGGTTGTAGAAGTTCAGGGCTCTTTTTTCAAATATTTTGTTTAACATAGAACTATCTATCTATCTATCTATCTATCTATATATAGGTGCCTTTCACACCTTTACCTGGCCAGTCTAAACTTCTTTGCTGAATAAGCCTGTTCACAGAGATCAGTAGTTCAAGCTGGAATGTAACTCCATGATGACATCACAGAGCTGGTGGATGTTAGAGACCTTGCGCTCCTCCACCTTCCATTTGAGGATCCCCCACAGATGCTCAATAGGGTTTAGGTCTGGTGACATGCTTGGCCAGTCCATCACCTTTACCCTCAGCTTCTTTAGCAAAGCAGTGGTCGTCTTGGAGGTGTGTTTGGGGTCGTTATCATGTTGGAATACTGCCCTGCGGCCCAGTCTCCGAAGGGAGGGGATCATGCTCTGCTTCAGTATGTCACAGTACATGTTGTCATTCATGGTTCCCTCAATGAACTGTATCTCCCCAGTGCATCACTCATGCAGCCCCAGACCATGACACTCCCACCACCATGCTTGACTGTAGGCAAGACACACTTGTCTTTGTACTCCTCACCTGCTTGCCGCGACACACGCTTGACACCATCTGAACCAAACAAGTTTATCTTGGTCACATCAGATCTCAGGACATGGTTCCAGTAATACATGTCCTTAGTTTGCTTGTCTTCAGCAAACAGTTTGCTGGCTTTCTTGTGCATCATCTTTAGAAGAGGCTTCCTTCCGGGACGACAGCCATGCAGACCAATTTGATGTAGTGTGAGACGTATGGTCTGAGCACTGATAGGCTGACCCCCACCCCTACAACCTCTGCAGCAATGCTGTCAGCACTCATACGTCTATTTCCCAAAGACAGCCTCTGGATATGACGCTGAGCACGTGCACTCAACTACTTTGGTCAACCAATGGCGTGGCCCGTTCTGAGTGGAACCTGACCTATTAAACCGCTGTATGGTCTTGGCCACCATGCTGCAGCTCAGTTTCAGGGTCTTGGCAATCTTCTTATAGCCTAGGCCATCTTTATGTAGAGCAACAATTATTTTATTCAGATCATCAGAGAGTTCTTTGCCATGAGGTGCCATGTTGAACTTCAAGTGACCAGTATGAGAGAGTGAGATCGTTAACACCAAGTTTAACACACCTGCTCCCCATTCACACCTGAGACCTTGTAATACTAACAAGTCACATGACCCCGGGGAGGGAACATGGCTACTTGGGCCCAATTTGGACATTTTCACTTAGGGGTGTACTCACTTTTGTTGCCAGTGGTTTAGACATTACTGGCTGTTTGTAGAGTTTTTTTTGAGGGGACAGCAAATGTACACTGATATACAAGCTGTACACTAACTACTTTACATTGTAGCAGAGTGTCATTCCTTCTGTGTTGTCACATGAAATTATATAATAAAATATTTTTTTTTAAATGTGAGGGGTGTACTCACATCTGTGAGATACTGTACTTAATGGGATTATTTACATCTACACCTCAGAGGCAACTTACCATGGGCATAGGGACATTATTTGTATGTCTGTTTGTACTTAACAGCTGATACATTCCACTAAAACGTATAAAGGGCAAAAAACTCAAACAAACAGATTTCAGTTTACCATTATCAGTACAGTTAATGTATTTAGAATAAGTTTTTTGTGTTATTGAACAAGCCCATACATCAATTCTGTGAAGAGACATATGGCATTAATGAGCACTAACATCTGAAGTTCAAAGAGTGCCCCAACAACATATACATGTCTACAATATAGCATAACAAATGAAGATTTTTTTGTGGTCATAGATCTACATTATTTTCCATTTTATATGCATTTTGACATGCTGCAAGTAAGCTATTCATCTTTTTTTTCTTTCCAGTAAGACAGCCAAATATTTGACAATTAAATGTGAAGTAGGCCAAACACAACTCAACATGTGTAATGGTTTAAAGTGGAATTGGGTGGACGTCAAGTCACTGTATAAAAGCTGGCCTTAATTTATTTCCACATTATTTGAACTTTACATAATTCTAAAATCATGTCAACTGATCCACAAGATATTTGGATTAGAGGGCCAGAAAGCGCTATTTTTATCATGCTGAAGATTAAACAAATACTTGATATCCACCAACTTGCTGGCTCCCATGTTAACAAAGTTTTTAGATGAAGTAATATCGGCATCTCCCTCTAAGCATAATGTTCAAAAGCTATGTAATTAGTTGCACATGTTTTAGTTGTTGCAGTTGGTCACGCTCCCTGTGCTCAGTTAAGAAGGCAATGTTTTGTTATTTCAAGCCCTAAGGTGCATACAAAAATGAGCATATATTTTAGGCAGATTCACACATTTTTTTTCCATATCTCTCAGGAAAAAAGTACAGAGTTACGAAAAGACCCTTGAATGGAATAAATTAGGGTATGGAATAAATTAAGGTACAGTATAAAACTAAACTGAATATTTTACATTGAACAAAATGTACTGAAGCCAATCTGAGAATTTCTAAGAGAAAATATTTTGCAAATGTTATACAGTTTTAGAATGATTGACTGAGGCAATGTCCTTGCAAGGCACCTGGAGGTCCCTTGGCAGCAAATACAAATTATATCAAAATTGGTAAAACCTATTTTACAAACATACTTTGCACGTAGCGCAGTGTGTTAAAGGTATAAAAGGAAGTACCAGCACTGTTTTAATTTATTTTAAATGTACTTTTTGTATATGAAAAATACATAACAAAATCTTATATTTATTTTAACAATGTTTGTGGAAGCAGCATTTTAGTATTCTATGAATATAAGTGGCAAACAGCTATGGATAAATTTAATAGAATACCCTTTTTCTATCAACAATGCAATCCTGTTAAAACAAACAAATAAGTTCATTAATTCAACTATGAGTTTCCGTTACTGCTTAATGTATACACTATAGTGTATTTTTAGTGTGAAGATGTTTTAATTGATTGGTTTAACTTAAAGTATGTAATTTGCTTTTATTTTGAATAGCACAAGGAATGGCTAAAACATCTGCCAGTTTTTTGTTGCCTTCCTTGTTCAATTAGGGAGATTTCCTTTACTTCTTGTCCTAAAAATGCAATAGAAAGTAATAGGAGTGCTCTGCAAAGTGAGGGAAATACCATCTTAGATATAGTATACACTGGAGATTGCCGAGATTTTGTCTCTTCTCCTGTTATGGTGGCTACTTAAAGTTGGGGATTTTACTTCAAGAGAGGGTGAATTTACCTAATAGGGGATGCAAGCAATGATAAAAC